ATCATAGTAAAACTCATACGTAACAGCATCTGAAATCATTTGTTTTGAAAGAAGCTAGGGATTCTAAATTATTTCACATGCAAGTGTTTATACAGGAGGTTGTATCTGGGTTAATGAAAATGTCACACTCTGTTTATTAAGAATAAAGCTGTTAAGGCAAAGCAAGCCTCCTTTAACTAGACTCACCCTCATCGTTCACTCTGTAATGTCATATACAACTGTTTTCTCTTTTTTATAAATTATAAAGAGGCAAGTCACTCTACTCATACTAGAAGATACAAAACCCTGAACACTTATTATAGTAGGAAGCTAAACTTCTAAAAAGCCACAAATGGCAATACTATACATTTTGCATTCATGTCTTGGATAGATCTGTATGGGCACATGGAATTACACATGCTGGACTGAGGACCCTAAATATCTAGTTGCCTTCTCTCAGGAAAATTAGAGTGGAGACAGGTATCTGGAACCTGGTTGTAGGAAGTAAGGAGATGCTCTTTGCCTACAGACAGGGAGGGAAGGCCAACCAACACTTGAAGGGGCAGTGTTCTTTGGGAAATGGAACTTTAAGCCTGCTAATTATATCATAAGACTACAAGGCCTGGCAGAACAAGAGCATGAGACAGCTGAATGGAAACCCAAGAAACCAAATGAGCGATTTAAAGTGGAGCTGTTTGAAGGGGAAGCAGAGCCCCAGGGAATTTCCTAACCTCAGAAACCTATTCACTAGCATTTTTTTATAGGGTGTCTGTGGCTTCTGGTTGCCTGCAAATTGAGCCAGCATGGTGCAGATGTGATAGTGGTTTAAGGCCGTTTTTCCCCGAACTTGGTGTGAATCACCTGGGGATCTTGTTAGAATGCAGAGTCTGATTCAGTAGATCTGAGGTAGGGTCTGAGATTCTGCTATTTTTAACAAGTCCCCAGATATTGCAGAAGCTGCCTGTCCTGGGGCCACACTCTAAGTAGCAAGTATCTAATCCACTCTCTCCCCAACCATTCCATTCTCTGATCACCACTTCCCATCTTCTATCCCATGTACCCTAACTCTAACCATTCATGGCCCACCAGTATTCACCACCCAGTGATCTTACTAATTTTCATGATCTGTCACCCTTTCTCGTTCTTTTTTCCTAGTTATACAGCTTAGATTCCATGATCTCATGTTATAATTATTCTTTTGCATCCACCTTCCTGTTCTTTTCTGCTCCCTCTTTCTTCATTATCCTTACTGGCAAAACCCCAACCCTGCATAACACAGCTCTCTCTCCATGCCAAATCTTCACCTACACAGGTGAGTGCGGCTGAAGGAGCAGACGTCACCGTGCTCACAGGTCTCACTTTCATCTCAGTGGGTCCCTGTGCCACTATTCTGTTCACTCTTCCTCTCTTCTGGATCACCTTCTTGTACACTCTCCTTATTATCACAGCTGTTCTGCCAGATGATGGGTTTGTTTACCACCTCCACTGGAAAGCTCCGTGAGGACAGGGAATTTTGCCTTGGTCAGTATCGGAACCTCCACCTAGAATAGTGGATGACACATGGATATTCTCCTTAAATAAAGTATCTGGATAGATACTACCATGGGAGGTGGGATTGTTAGGACAGAATCAGAAAAAGCCAACTAGGAAGAACTGCATATCCATACATGTATTTAAAAAGCTACTCTGGGTCTTTTTGAATAGACAAGGCTAAGTAAGATCCTTTTTGAGGGATGCTTTTGACCTGAATGTGCTCAATATACTAGAAATTGCTAAGCCCACCAGGCCCTTTGGGGATCAGGAGGGGAAAGGACCAACATGAAATTCTGTCTGTGAATTCCTGTCCCTTGTCTCATTTGATGCTCACTTTGGTAGTGTGAGTCAGGATTTAACCTCCAGACACTGCTGTACACTCCAAAACTTGTCATCCTCACTTAGGACACTAGCAGAATTATAACCGGTTGCATTTCACAAATCTGCAGGCTAAATATGCCTAATTTGCTGTGGTTTGAGGAAAAAGAGATATATCATGGCCATGCCTGGGACTCCATGTGGGCCAGTCATGATGAAAAGAACCACAGGACTTTAAGTCGGCAGTGTAAATGTCCTAAAACATCACAGAATGAAGTTAATTGCCATGAAAATGTGCTGTCCTGGTCATTCTCAAGGAGGGGAAGTGTCAGGTGTTCAGTCTACTGAAAGTGAAGGAAAGGTGTGGCTAGCAATGCTTATTTTTATTTTATTGTGAAGAGTTCTGCTTTTAATAACATTGTCTGCATGTACTAAATAATTGCCTCTCAAGGTTTTGAGCAGCTGTGACACAGAGGGAAAAGCACAGGGTGTTTTGTGAGTATTGGATAAAATAACCTCATATGGGCCAAGAATACAACAGAGGCTTTGTACATGCATTCACTCCCTCATCTATGCCCTTTCCAAGGGTCCTCGTCCATAGTACTGTTTTTCTGCATGATATGGAAGTTAAGACATACATATGAGAATATGTGAGTGTGTGTTTGTATTTAAGAGATGCTCTCACTCTGTCGCCCAGGCTGGAGTGTAGTGGCACAGCATAGCCCACTGTAGCCTCAAAATCCTGGGCTCAGCCAGTCCTCCCACCTCAGCCTCCTAAGTAGCTGGGATCATAGGTGTGAGCCATGATGCTCTAATTATTGTGTTTTAATAAGTCATCATTCATCTTAGACCAGTGATTTTCAACTTGGGGATGATTTTGCTCCTAAGGGGACATCTGTCAAAGTCTGGAGATACTTTTGTTTATTACAACTCAGGGCAGGAGATGCTAGCCCTCAAAACAAAGAATTCTCCAGCCCCAAACGTTAGCAAGGCCAAGATTGAAAGCCCTGTTTTAGCGCATGACTTTCCACTGGTGTTTCTAATTATTTCCTCATCGGTCTCTAAATAAAGGAAGGAAAGGATTGAGAAGGATGTGACTGCCTGAGGACATAATGGGACAGGAGGTTGGGACAAGTTGGAGGACCCACCTATCAGGTGCCAGGATTCACCAACTCTTTACAAGCATACTACAGTTTCCAGCTTAAAAACAGGTGCTTCATTAGATATTTACAAGCACACTACAGTTTTCAGCTTTATTAGATATACTCACTAGCAAAACCCCAACCCTGCATAACCCAGCTCTCTCCCCATGCCACATCTTCACCTACACTGGTGAGTACAGCTGAAGGAGTACACATCTCAGTGGGTGCCTATGCCATTCTTTACTGGTTGATTAGCCTGTAAAGTAGACAGGGTGGCAGAGGCATGGAGGACTCAGGAGGGCAGTGAGGATGATGGGATGACACTGGACAGGTTGGGCACATGATGGGGAGATTGTCCCAATGCCAGGGGCTTGGGTTTTATCCCAAGGGCTGTGGAGAACAGCACGGATGGGGCCCTCCAGAACCAAACTGTCCTGCTCTTTTCTGTACTTTATGCAACCTGTTCATACTCCTCTGATTCCTTGTGTCTCTCTGTGTTGTGCTACTTACTTGTAACTTGGGCTCCTTAACTGGGCCTTATCATCTTGCCTCTGTATACCCCTCGTAATAGCAAAGAGATTTATCAGTAAGTATTTATTAAACAGATTTGGCAGTGTTTTAGACACCACTAGCAGCCTCTCAAAATAATTGTTTCTCCACTTTTGAACAAGTACTATTCCCAAATACTTGTTTCCGACACAGTTATTTAGAGCTTGAAATGCATCCTCCTGGTTTTGTAAATGATAGGTTTCCAGGCTGGTAGGGAAATTTCCCAGCACCCATAGTATTGTTGAGCCGTAATGTTTAATAGTTCAGGATAGGGGATTTCCTAGCAAAAGGCCAAGAAAAGAGATTTTCCATTGCCTTTCTTTGTTGCATGGGGACTCTTGGCAAATGTATTCTTTACCATTTAACTGCGCTTCCTGGCATGGGAACTTTCTCTCGCCTTCTACTGCACTTTTCTCTTGATAATTGTATCCAAGCGGCTCTTAGACCACATGGGTTAAGAGTCTGGGGATTCATGTCTTGATGGCCACTGTGGAGTTCGGTACTGGAGCTTATGGAAGGATTATCACCTTGCTTGTTGTCAGCTTGACTATCTGGTCTTTCAAATGTTGCTTTGCTTTTCATTTCTTCTAAAAAAAAAAAAATAGCTCTTTCTCCTCTCTTTTAAAGTTTATCCAAAAAGCAAAGAGAAAAGAGGAGGCACCAGTTTCCCTCAGTGGATATTTTTCCTGAAAAAATTCAGTCTCATTATTAGGTTCATTCTTTGCCCATGCTTTTTACTTCCACTTAGCATATTTTCAGATGTCTACTTAAATCCACAGTTCCACAAAAACAGAATTTTCAATTTGAGATTACATTCCTCAAACTCTAATCACATTTATTCTTGGAGAGGTGATCTATATAAGTGATAATTTTATTTTTAAGCATAAGAAGCCATGCTAACAAAAATACAGCATATTTCAAGATGAAGACATTAAATAATATAGCTAAATATAACAGTTATCACGTCTCTATACAATTTTGTTTCACTTTTTTTTTTTTACTGACAATACTGTCATCTTCTTGAGGCATGCAACCAATTTCGTTTTTGCATAATCCATGTACATTGCACATGGGCTCTAGGGGTCTGTGTTTAGGGTGTGCAAGTGCAGTGCTGGTGATAACTCGGAGTCACTATCAAAATTGGTGCAAATGAGGTAGAAGGCAGCAACGAGTAAAAGTGTGAGGATAATTTATTATCACATTGATTCATGTCATCATTTTTACTTTTCTACATGTATAAAATTAGGGATAGCATATAGTTCTGGATATTTTAAGAGCAAGTTTTAGCTTTTGCTTTTTAACATTCTTTTTTTATAGTATTAAGGCAGTAAAGCCTAATTAAATAATTGTTTTTCAATTGCTTACTATCGGCCAAAACTTAAATAAGTAAATGAAAAGATTATTATTTTACCCTTAGTTGTTGCAGTTTTAATCCAGTTCAGAATTTTGAAATTGTTCTCTCTTGTGTTTCTTTTCCAGAAAACACGAGGTCGTTCTCCTATTTTGGCAGTTGGGCACAACTTCATTGCTGAGAAAGGGTGATTTCAAGGTATTTCTTTATCTGGTTTATTCTACATTATTACTCATTCAACCTAGCTTTTAGTTTAACTTTGCATGTATCAGTTGTTGATTTGGAGACTCTGTTTGGGTTAAGTCTGCAGACACATAGCTTCTAAGCTGAGAGACATCCAGGGTATGATCTAGTCTGATTTGAATTTAGCACCTGAGGTCTTCTGCAGTAGAAATCAAGATGCTAATGGGTGTACTTCCTACAGCATGGTGTTTCCCTTTGATTGGTGGTAAGCCGATCGTGGCTGAGTTTTGTAAAACCTCTGTGAATTGGGCTAAATGCCTACACTCTCTCAATCTCTTTCCTCATCTTTGAGACAGGGATAGTAATTGGATAGTCTCATGAGCTTAATAGAGAAATTAATGGGATACACAGTGCTCACTGCCACCACCACCAAAATGATAGGAGGCTGTGTTTTTGGTTATCATTATTCAAGGTATTAGTAATCTCATTTTGTGCTGATGATACAGTTATGTTATTAATTCCTTAATGACCTTGAGTCATCTTCTGTGAACAGACCAAACACAGAAAAAAAACATTCAGACTAAATGAACAGGTTAACACAAAGACATTCTGCATTTGATTTTAGCAATTAGTTTACTACAGTGGTTATCAGTTTTTATAATGAATCCTGGACTTTGAAGCACTATGTCCACCCATTTGAAAGATTTATTTTACAAACCTCAAATGTCATGGTCTGCCCGACTCATATTCATTTTAAATCATTATCCAATGCCTGTATGGCCTGAAAAGGAATTCATCTAAGCTTTCCCAATCTCTTCACCAAAGGAATTATGTAAAATAGGCCACTGTCTTTTAATTAAATCTTTGCTTCAACTTACTGAGAAATTCCTTCTCTTGCTAAAGTAACCCTTTCCTCTTAGGAGAGCAGGGAGCTATGTCAGGGTTATTTTGGTTCCCCTCTGAGGCCACAGTCTCTCTAAATATAACTGCAGATCCTGGAAATCAGCCTGTCTTTTGTTAGTTAACGTAGGCTAAAGAATCAGTGCATTAAGAGCTTTGATTATCCACAGTCTAAAAATGCCTTCCTCTGATCTCCTAATATTTGACAAGAATCTCAGTTCAGGGATTAGTCATTTTCTCTAATGCGTTTCCATTTCCACTAGAGCTGCTTGCTTTACACACATTATTATGTCCTGAAATGTAGAGCATTTTCCAGTTGGGGGTAATTGAGATTTAACTCAAGAGTCTATGTATTTTAGAATAGGCATCACATGCTTCTGTAGTAGAACCACAGTCCTCCCAATTTCTGGAAAGCATTGTGTGGTACTTTTTTATACATGGCTGCCTTCTTGAGTTTTACTCCATCTGACCCTCCTATAGAAGCTAAGCTTCAAGGCAATGTTTGTATCTTATTTTAGTACCTACAGCATCCAATAAATGCCTGGATCATAGTAACACACAGTGGATGCTCTAATTTCTTTAAGTGAATATATCTCTGACACTGTAATAAAGAAGAAGATAGAGGCCGGGCGTGGTGGCTCACGCCTATAATCCCAGAACTTTGGGAGGCCGAGGTGGGCAGATCACTTGAGGTCAGGAGTTCAAGACCAGCCTGGCCAACATGGTAAAACCCCATCTCTACTAAAAATACAAAAAAAAATAGCTGGGTGTGGTGGCACATGTCAGTAATCTCAGCTACTCGGGAAACTCAGGCAGGAGAATCGCTGGAGCCCAGGAGATAGAGGTTGCAGTCAGCCAAGATGGTGCCATTGCACTACAGCCTAGGTGAGAAGAACAAGACTCCATCTCAAAAAAAAAGAAGAAGACAGAATTCATGAAAAATAGTTTATCTCAAGCTGTGCGTTTTTTTCTGACTAAACGTAAGCATTCTTCTCAACAATAATGCTTTGCTTGTTAGTTTTGCTTTTAGTAGCTATACATTAAAGAAGAGCCACCAAAACCAATTTATGTCCCCTTTCCCTCTTCTGCTGAGATCAGAACTAGCATGGTGGCTACATTCTTTTGTAACTGTTTATCATTTCCACAGTGGAAATAGATTCAGACTGTATTCGCACCAACTTTAGTGATAATAGTAGCTACTTTATGATGTTTTAGTTTGAAATTCAAAATTCAAAATTGCCCCCACTCATTTTCAGGCTTCTAATGTGCCTGTGCCTTGGAAATATATTTCAAATATCCAGAGTTGTTCTTTCCAGTTACTAGAAATACAAGCAAAGCAGGGAGGGTACAGTGGCTCATGCCTGTAACCCCAGCACTCTAGGAAGCCAAGGCGAGCAGATCACTTGAGGCCAGGAGTTCGAGACCAGCCTGACCAACATGGCAAAACCCTGTCTCTACTAAAAGTACAAAAATTAGGTGGGCATGGTGTTGCACACAATCCCATCTACTTGGGAGGCTGAGGCATGAGAATCGCTTGAGCCCAGGAGGCAGAAGTTTTAATGTGCCAAGATTGCCCCCAAAAAAGAGAAACATAAGCAGAGAACACAGAATCAGCAACTGTCCAGGGAGATGTGCACTCCTAAGCCAAATTAACAAATAAGTGTGATTTCTTGAGAGGCCAGAGTTAACACAATTAGTGATGAACTACATCTTTGAAGAGCTAGGGGAAAATAATGGGATTCATTTTTAATTCAAACCAATTCTAAGCAAGAGCCCTGGCTTTCTGGAGTGGCTTTGTAATCAAAGGTTACCGCAGGGCTTGTCAGAACTTTTAACAACTGTCTCCACTGTGAAAATGGTCTTAGGTTGTAAGGTGATTGCAGAGCTGAGGAAATGATGACTCTAGCCAGCTTTTGTCTCGCATTTGATCTTTGGCTCACAAAGACAAGGTTAATTTCAGCATAAGCTGTAGCTTTAATTTTTAAATCAGTCAATTTTAATAGCAGCCTGCTTATGCTCTGAAAAGCATCCAAGAGCAGTCAGAACGAGTTGGCCTGGAATATAAATAAGTGTTACAGTATAAGTCTTAACTATATCTAGGCTAGTAGTCAACAAAATACGTTACAGTCAGCCTAATTAATCTTTCATTTTCTTTTTGCTATCCTCCCTTATGTTTGTGTGTGTGTGTGTGTGTGTGTGTGTGTTTCTGAACTATAAAAACATACATATTCACTATATTCGCTATAGTTGGAAAATTTAATACTCTCAAGGAAGAAAAAAGTTTCCTTGTGAATCCGTTACCCAAGGAGAACCGTTGTTAGCATCTTGGCTGATGTTTTTCCTTGAGAATTTTGCCAAGCAAACATACATAATTTTTAAATTCCTTTTGTTTTGTTTTTGTTTTTGTTTTTAGAGACAGGGTCTCACTTTGTTTCCCAGGTTGGACATAGCTCACTGTAGCCTCAAACTCCTGAGTTTAAGAGCTCTTCCTACCTCAACCTCCCATGTAGCTAGGAATACAGGTACACACCACCATGCCTGGCTAGTTTTCTTTTTTTTTTTTTATTTTTATTTTTGTAGAGATAAGGTCTCACCATGTTGCTCAGGCTGATCTCAAACTCCTGGGCTCAAGCAGTCTTCCCACCTTGGCTTCCCAAAATGCTGGATGGCAGGCATGAACCACCATGCCCAGCCTCATACTTTTAAACTGCTCATGATGAAAAGTTTTATGCACACAGGACAGAATCACTGAGTCCTTACACACTCACAGTCTAGATTCACAGAGTATCAAGCTTTTGACACCATGGCTTCATCTGTCCCTTTTTTCTTTTTCCCTTTCTCTTTCCTTTTTTGAAATATCAACTAAGCTACCTTTAAGAAGAAAAGAGGACTTCTGATATTCTTAGGACTACAGAAAGCAAGTATTTGCCTGCCAATTTCACACACTCTCATTTATCCTTTATTAGGAAGCAAAAAGTATGGTTTTACACTTCGTATTGTATTGTACTTTGGGAATAAGCTGCCTTAAAGCTCAAGTCTGCTACATGCTAGATGGGTATTGATTTTTCCTCTTAAATCAATGTTTCCCTAGAGCATAGTTTTATTTATTCATAAAGCGAAGATGATGTCTGACAGGAGTTACAGCAGTGTAAATCTGTGGTGCAGGCACAGTAAGAAGAGCTTTTGTAAGACTCAAAAATCCATGTTCTGATGCTAGAGGGCATCCTCAAAAGCCTGAAAAAGTGCATTTGCGATGCTTCCAAGTATAAAAGGAGCATTGCAGCATATGGTTAAGTTTTACTCCTCTGTTTCCTATACTGCTTTGCAAATGGACCTAAATGCATTGCAGCTGAAGCCAAGCCATGATTGTGTCTGATGCCAGCCTGTTATAGGAACAGCAGGCTGGATAGAATCAAAGCTTCAGCCACAGTCTCTTGTTGACACCAAACGTCAGCTTGCTCTGGAAGGATGTAGTGACCCTGTTGATCTGTCCCCTGTAATTCTGCTCCCTGGCCCAAAGGATGGGCACTGATGTCCAAGGGGCAGTTAACATGAGAGTACTCACTTTGGGATACTTCATTCACCTTGGAATATCTCTGTGTACTTGTTGGTGTACTATAATACGTGTAACAGCTCTCTGTGTAGCTGGGCCATGTAAGTCAAGTGTAATCCTAAAAGTGTACTCCTTTTGTTGATGTGTTTGTGTGTGTGTGTGTGTGTGTGTGTGTGTGTGTGTGTGATACATAGTCTATTTTCTTTTAAAAGTGTTTAGGATATAAAAATTATTGTTAGCCTTTTTTTAACTTAGGTAAAATATGCCCCGGATTTCTCTCAACATTAACTGATTTATTTTTATGGTTGAAAACGCTTCTAATGGCTAGAATGGCACCATTTGGAATTTTAAATGTCCAGCTTTTTATTGGCGGTCTGATCCTCACACAGTAGAACTGTTTAAAGAGTTAGGTGACCTAAAAGCTAGTTTCATCGTCCACTTATGGCTGCTTTGTGACCTAAGGTGAGTTTCTGAACTTCTATGGAACATTTTATTTATATTGTTGTGTTTTTCCTAATTTAAATAACAGTGAGTTTGTGTGAAATTGGTAGATGTTTACTTG